ACGCTTTCAGCGTCGAATACGTGGAATAGTGATTAACGTTGTGTTTTGTCAAGATTTTTTGCACATCGGCGTTGTAAAACTCCTTCCCCATATCCGTTTGCAAATTTTTCGGACATCTTCCACTCTCTCGAATTATCTCAGCGATAGCGTCTGCCGTCTCGCTTCCACCTTTGCTTTTGAGCGGTACGGCCCACGCGTACTTGCTCAACACATCGATGACGGTGAGTATGTAGTGACGGCCTCTGTTGTAGCTCGAGTACGGACGTATCTCGACGATATCAGCCTGCCACAGATCGTTGTATCCTCGGACTATGACGCGCCTTCGCGAAAAATTTCTTCTCGCCGGAGCGTGCAATTCCTCTACGAGACGACGTCTCTCGGAGCTAACTTTTTTCTCCTCACCGGATCTCTTCTTCATGATTCGATGCGTAATACACAGGATACATGAAAAAAAAATGTATTGTTTCTCGCTGACATCGCTCGACTGACTCGTTTCGTCGATACGCGATTTAATTTATAATAAGACCGGCGAAGTTCCTCGAGGATCAACAGTATTTCGATATTGATGTGAGCGTTGTTGCCCGCTCAGTGCGAAGCGTCGAGCAACCGTAGACGATCCACCAGCTCGTTGAGATCATCCCAGTACACGTAATCGATCGCGTTGTCGTTCAATGTCATTGCGTGAGATAATCCCTTTCCAGATTTCTTTTGTTTCTTGGGTGTAATCGACATCAGCGCCGATCGTACGCCGTATGATAATTATGTTGTCCGTGTCATCCACGTCGAAACGTTTATTGCCAAACATCAGTCCGTCCTTGTGTAGATAAACGCCGTACACGCTATCTATACCGTTCCCTTTTCTTCGCGCTCCGCTCATGACAGCCTCGACATATTTTCGTCCCAGCGGGCCCAAGCTGGCTCGCAACGCCTCTCAACTTTCCGACGTTTGCAACCGATGTTGAACCTTCGTTGCGAATGAGTCGTCCGTCGTATCGAAAACGTTCTCGAACGATTCTATCGGTGGTACGATCGTCGTACGCGGAGTGGAGGTTATCGGTTGTACGTCGTGCCATTGATCAGATTTACTTAGAGTCGCGGAACGCTCGAATGTCTCGCTCGCTTCCTCCTCTTCCTCCACCTCCTCCTCCTTCCTCTCGTGCTTGGGAGCAGACGCTGCATCATCGTCGCGCGACTCTCTCTTTATCGCGCGCACGCCAGGCTGTCAACGATCTGTTGCACCGGTTTGATAATAGGTTTAAAATGCCTGTCCAACGCCATGCTCTCTTCGATTCTACCGGTCTTCAGAGCGCGATGTTTCTTGCTCGTCCTTTGGTTCTCCCTCGCGATTTTTTCACGTTCGCGTACATCAGCTATGTTCGTCTCTGGCGTAGTATCGACAACGACTGACCGCGTTATGGTATCGCGAACTCATTAAATCCTTTTCTGTATCTCCCATCCTTAAGGGGTTATACCTAGTTAGGAGGCCAAAAAAAGACGAATATTCGTGAATTCTTTTAAAAAAAGTATATGCACATATCCGTATGAATTGTTTTGTGTTCAAAAGAACCTACTTTGATAAAGTTTTCATGTTTTTTTATGTAATAATACTAATAAATAAATAAGTTATAGCTAGTGTCCGGAAAGCCGTTTTCCAAAATGCGTTTTGCGGTGATCACTATCATTCGGAACCAAGTTATATGAAATGAAAAAATCCAAAAGATTTAGTTAATATATGAATTAATCTAGTCTTTAATCGATTAGTATTCCCAAAAATTGAATAACAACAAAATGGCGGTTATTCAAAGTTGACATTTCGATTTTCATGAAAAAAATTGGATATTCTCGTCCAGTAAAAAAAAAGTCCGCATCGAAAAAAAAATCCTTCGATTAAAGACTAGATTTATATGTATGTCTAAAAAAAGCATGTAAAATTTCAAATTGATCGATGCAGTAGTTTTTGAAATATTCTGTTCACCGATTTTGAAAACATAGTTTTGAGAAAAACGCGTTTTCGTAATTGCTATACTGCCAGCGTCTCCGGGTTTCGTGCTTGTGTTCGTTGGTAAAAAGTCCGTTGGATTTGCTTACGATCACTTAGAAGACTCTTATTCGTAATTACTAACACAAGTATATACTAGCAATACAATAGATGACCTGACAGACAGGCAGAACGAGATAATATTCGTCCCTTGTGCAGCTGCCACGCTAGACTACTAGAAGCGCTTCGACGGATATATACTCAAGTTCGTATATCTCCGTAAAAATACAGTGGATCAACTTAAAATTTTGAGGGAATATTTCTAACATTATATACTTCAAGAAAATGTGACATTTAAATAATCGATTTTTTGAAATTTCTAACTAGGTATAACCCCTTAAGTGCATTGTCTTTGTCTATCATTAGGAATCCATACTTTTGTCGCCAACAGTCGTGACACAACAAGCAAAATTCATCGTACGACATGTCGGTATTCACGTGAATGTTGTAAACGTGTTTCAAGTTGGTACTGTCCTGTTTGAACAGGATCAGCAGGTTCGCGTTGTCGCATACCAGATGTTTAGGTATCCTCGCGTACGTCTGACAGAGATAGAAGCAGTCGACGTCCGCGTGGCGGCCCATCGAGAAGTATTCTCTCACCGCATCCTGCTTGTCGCATGCCACGTCATCAAAGATAAAAATAGAATTTGGATGCGTCTCGCTCCGTGGAACAACGTCGCTGTTGTTGGAAAACGTAAAATAACCGATTTCGTCGATAGACGTCAACAAATTTTGGAGATATCGATACTTTGGCTGTTGCAACGATTTCGAGTAGACATATACGTTCTCGAAACGTACGCCGTTCGGGCTCTCAAGCAAGCTTATGAGAACGTTGGTTTTACCGCAATTCGACGGGCCGCAAATGATCGCGCGTATAGTACTCGGCAGCATTTCGCCGTGCTTGCGCTTCTCCACGCTGCCTCCCATCAGTAGTAATGCTATGAGAGTTCTAACTCGGGAACTCCGAGGGGAATGCGGGGCGCGGGGGATTCTTCGGTGGTGGGGGTATGACATCATGCGAAGTGGCGGCAAGGCATCACAGATTTTGGGGACTGTAGTCACGTACAAGACAACAAAAAACATCACAAAAAGGGATTATTACCATGAACAAAAAAACAAATGGTTATAAACAAGAAGTGTTACAAAGGGTATTCGCTGGTATATGCTCCAACCGTTTTTCAGCCAAGATATGGCGTAATATAATTTTTCTAGAAACAATATTTATTAATTATTTTAAATATCTAAATACGAACAAGTTTCATAATTAATCGATTGAGCGCCAACATCTGGCTGCTATCGAAATCGATGATATTGAAACGCAATGTCTCCCTTGATAAAAGAGCCTCGATCATTTATTCTTTTTTTGAAAAGGACATGACAATCGAACATGTTTTTGCCAATATGTTTCAAGGTTAGTTGAAGTGTAAATGTAAGTGAAACTTGATAGAATTGTATTTTTATAAATTTTATGAGGGTAGAGCGTTTTTTTCTAAGCATACTTTGAAAATGAGCGTATAATGCTCTACTCTGAAAAGAGGGAGTTACAGACGAAAATGAATTCAGTCTAGAAATGTG